CAGGGCACTGAGGAGCCCAGGCCACTGCGGTGCGCTGTGGAGCATGGATGAGCCGGGCCGGGGCCGGGGCGGGGGTGGGGGCAGCGCCGAAGGTGTGGTGGCAGGGCACAGGCTGAACACTGCCCTGACTCTCGGCCTGCCTGGAAGGCTGCAGGAATGCACCCTATGAGGAACTCAGGACTTCCGGGTCCCGTCTGTGAGTGGTCCTGGCCCCTCCATGTTCTCCACACAAAGGGTCACACCCTCCTGCTTCCCATGAGGCTGTGCTGGGCCCCGGGCCTCGACTCCCGCGGCCCCTCTGCTCCCTTCCTGTCTGTGCGCCTGGAGCTGAAGTTTCCCCAGCAGCCCTGGCCTCCTGGCATTCCTGGGGCCCGTGAGCCCCCCTGTAGCTGCCTAGAGTCCCAGCGAGGGGAGGAAAGATGTTGGGAGGAGAGAAGGGGCTGATGAGCGAAGCAGCCTCCCAGGAGCGCCCCTTGTGAGCCTCATCTCTGCCCCCTGGAGCTGGGCAGAGCAGGAGTTACCATCCTCACTGCCAAGGTGGAAGCCAGGATTCAGAGAAGGGGTTAACTTGCCCAAGGTCACAGAGCGAGGCTGAGGCTCGCTGGGACTGGCCTCAGTGCTGCGTCTTTGCACTGCAGCCCAGAGGCAGCTTCCAGAGCCTGGAGGTGGGGAGAGCCGGGCCCAGAGCCTTTCCTCTTGCAGGGCCATAAACCCGCGTAAAAGACCCAGTTATCACCAAGATCTTTATGAGGCCATCGGCTCTGCGCCCCACCCAGGGAGGCCCTGGCCCGGTGTGTGAGAGCAGCCTGCAGGGAGGGCTTCCTGGGGGAAGCCAGAGGAAGGAGGGGTCCAATAAACACCACTCCCAGAGATACGGGCTGTCAGGGAGGAAGAGGCTGCCCACAGTGGGGACAGGGGCTTCCCCGTGGAAGCTGCGAGAGGAGAGGTGGGCATTGTCCGGCCACACATGGGGAGCAGGAGGCCTGGGGCTGGAGGTCGCCTGGTGGGTCAGAGGTCAAGGTGGGGAGGACTCCCAGCATGGTCCTCTTCAACAGAGAGGGAGCTGGGGGGATGCCCCGCCAAGGCTGCGCAGGACTCTGACCTGGGGGGTTCTACCTGGAGAGAGGAGGAGGAGGGGGGAGCAGAGGTGTTTTTGCATGAAGAACCCAGAGGAGGAAGAGGAACCAGCTATTTGTTTAAGCAAAAGCCCAGCTAACATGTTGGGGGGCAAGAGGCACACGCATTTCCGCATTAGAGCAAAGGTGAACTGCCAGACTGGCCACAGACCTGCGGCGTGGCCCCCACCGCGTGGCTGCACCTCTCCCAGCTCCAGCGTCCTGAGCTGCAGAGTGTGGCCAACAGTGAGCCCTTCCTGGTAGGACTGTGCTGAGGACGTGCAGAGACGCCGCCTGGGAAGGCCGGCATGCAACCGGCATCGGGAACTGCTGCAAACATGGCTCCGGTGCCCAGGGAAGGGCTACACCTGCAGCCTGAGATGGTGCAGTGCCAGGGTGTGGGAAAACCGTGGGCCCCAGGGCAGCCCACTCCACGGGCAGGGCGCAGAACTAAGGGACCCCCGCCTCCACAGGAGCAGCTGGGCCGGCTCCCCGGGCCTTCCAACTCCCGGCTTTGAACTCTCTTGATCAGGAACACAGCCCTGGCTTTGCCCAGACAGTCCCCTGCTGCTTCGGCCCCCGGCCCTCAACTGTCTCCCAAGCGCTGACCCCGTGTCCTTACTGCTCTCCACCCCAACACACACACACTCCAGACCCGCTCAGTTCTAGGGGAGCACGGGCCCTTGGGACCTCAGAGTCTCTGGTCGAACTGACCCCGACCACGGGTCCTTCCCCACTCCCCAGGGCCTGGCTCACAGGTCACTTCCGCCTCCAAGGCTTCCCTTGCTCCCCAGTCCTGATCCTCACCAAGATGTGACTTGGTATTTAGTGGTGATTATTTGATTCATGCCTGTCCCCACTCCTCATCTGGAGGCAGGGTCTCACCCAATACGGAACAGAGTACAACACAAAGGAGGTGCGTTACTGGGTAGTTGTCCAGTTAATGAAGACGGGACAAGTGAATTCCTATACTCACCTATGCCCACACCGTCTAACACACTCTTGGCACTAGGGGGCACCTAAACAGTGCCTTCCCCAAGAACAGGCATCTTTTCCACAGCTGTCCTCACCAGGGACCCCCCGACAGTCACTTACATACCTCCTATGACGGTGAGCTCGCTCTCTGTCAGGACTGCCCATTTCATGATACACAGCCCTTTAAAGAGCCAGCCACCCGCGTAGGGGTGGTGGAGATCGGAGCCGGCGTGTTTTCTCTCAGGTCTCCTGTCTGCCCCGTCTCCCTCCCAGACGCAGAGCCGGCCCCAGGCCTTCCGCTCCTCCACCCTTGCTACAGTTCAGACACGGAGTGCCCCTTGCCCTCTTCCCTTGCCTCCGTGCACTTAGTTTCTCACTGACTCCTTGAGAGGTGGGAGTCCGGGCAGAGCTCAGAGCTCCAGATGGCTTCTGAGCAACACGTCCACTTCCTTCCCAGCTCAGCTGCCGTGTGCCCATCTGTGTCAGCGGCAACCCAGCGGCCCCCGTCCCTCCTAGCAGCAGCCTTCATTTGCTATGGAAACTCGACTTGGGCACTGATCCCTTCTTTTTCAGGCCTCAGTGCTTCTACCCATAAAATGGGAAGAATTCCTTTGAGCAAAAGGCGGCGCCCCAGGCTTACTGAATCCGCTGCTCAGCTATGATAGAAGAGCAGGAGTCTGAACAGGGCCAGCTCCGTGCACAGGTCACCTGTGCAGTCACACAGGGCCCAGTTTATTTTCATTTTATTTGAAAGGTGGAGAAAAAGAGAGAGACGGATGGAGATTTCCAACGGCTGGTTCACTCCCCTAAATGCCCACAGCAGTCAGGGCTGGGCCAGGCTAAAGCCAGGCGCCTGGGACTCAATCCTGCTTTCCCACGAGGGTGGAAGGCACCCAAGCATCTGAGCCATTATCTGCTGCCTCCCAGTGTGCAATGAGCAGGAAGCTGGATGGGAAGCCGAGTAGCTGGGACTGGAACCCAGGCACTCCAATATGGGATGTGGGCGTCCCAAGTGGTGGCTTAACACAGTGCCCAATGCCTGCCCCCACAGGGCCCGATGGGGGTACTCTGAGGGCCGTCACGTGTTCACTTTGTCCCAGGCTCTGCACACTGGGCCCTGACCTTGACACATCTGCCTGGTGCTGACAAAATGAATCCTGAACACCCTATCGTGTGTGAAGATCCAAGAGAGAGACACAGAAGACCTGGTCCTGCCCTCTTCTGGGTGCCACACATCACTGCAGGTTAGGTGGGGGGTTAGGGGCACAGGAGCTGTGGGAGTGTAACCTCCATGGGGCTGGGCTTCAGTACAGCTCCCTCAGGCTTCCTGGCCAGCACGAGTGAGTCCCTCCCCATATCTCACCACCATGTCCCATGCTCCAAGCTCACTCAGCCCTCAGCCTTCCCCCTCTCCAGCTTAGGTGGCTGGGAAATGCTTCCCAGTTATTAACAGGATGGAGAGGGGGCTGCGTGGGGGGGGGTACACAGGGTGCATTTAAAATACTCAGGTGGGGCGCAGCTGTTTAGGCTGCCTCCCCTCCCCACCCCAACCCCCCACGCCTGCATCCCATATGAACACTGGCTGCTCCACTTCCAGTTCACTCCCTGCTAATGCACTGGGAAAAGCAGCAGCAGATGGCCCAAGTGCTTGCCCTCCTGCACCCACGTGGGAGACCCAGACAAGTTCCAGGCACCTGGCTTTGGCTTGGTCCAGGCCTGATCCAACCCTGGCCATTGAAGCCATTTAGGGAGTGAGCCAGTGGATGGAAAATATCTCTGTCTCTCTCTAACTCTGCCTTTCAAATAAATAAAACAATTCCTTAAAAATAAGTAACTAAAACCTGGGGTGCCCCAGCTATGATAAATGATTGCAACTCACACAAACCAACTGCTATACAGATATTTTTGAATCCTTTGGAGTGCTTTGACTACGAGCCGTGTATTAGGTAATAGCCAGGAATTTGTGTTGGTTTTGTTAGATGTGATCCTGGCATGTTATGTAAGAAAATGTCCGCTTGTTTTAGAGTTGCGTGAAGTGTGTAGGGGGAAAATGATATGACATCTGGAATTTAAAAGGCTTTAGGAAAAAGTGGAGAGAAGATGAGGGAGCGTGGCAATACCTTAGTAATTGGGTAAGCCGAGCTACACAGCTCATCAAGCGATCCTGCTTTTGTGCAGTCTGAAACTGCTCCATCATTAATACCAATAATAAAAGGGTAGGGGTGGCCAAGAGAATTTGTGCCGTTTCCCCGGAATGTCCCCAGAAGCCTCGGGCTCCGGGGATCCAGCCTGTAAGAGCTTTCGCCAGCGCAGACCAGGGACAAACTCTCAACTGCAGGCAGATCCGTGCCCGCGCATATGCGCATGTTCCCGGGAAAACAGCCTCAGCTTTCAAGCCAGCCAAGGGGTCGTGACCCCGCCCCCTCCCCCCAAGGGAGGAAGGGCCACCACCTTGCAGACAGGAGCCCCGCTGGAAGTCAGGCTCACCCTGTCCCCGTCACTGCGGAGCACCGGGTCAGGCCCGCCGCCGCCGCCGCGTGCCGGGATCCCCAGCCCGCCCCTCGGGGCTCCATCCTGCACCTGTATAGGGGTGGAAGACTCGGTGCAGGTAGCGGTGCGGGGACCCCCCGCCCAGGCCAAGCCCCCGCCCGCTCTGGCCGGTCCACCTCCCGCTTGGGGCGGCAATTTGTCTCCTTTTGAACCCCCGCCCCCGACGGGTTTCCCCCTTTGATTCGCGGCCGGAGGCTTCCCCCCCGCTTTGAAATGCAAACCCGCCAGGGCTGGGGCCGCGGGCGGCCCGGAGCTATAAAAGGCCTGGGTGGGGCGGGCGCGGCGTCCGGGCTGGGGACTTCAGGTGAGCGCTTGCTCGTCATCCGGGCGGCCGACGGCAGCGGCGGCTCCGGGGCCCAGCATGCGCGGGGTGCCCCGCGGCCACTATGTACGTGGGCTATGTGCTCGACAAGGACTCCCCGGTGTACCCTGGCCCCGCCCGGCCCGCCAGCCTCGGCCTGGGCCCCCAAGCTTACGGGCCGCCGGGCCCGCCCCCCGCGGCCCCGCAGTACCCTGACTTCACTGGCTACTCTCACGTGGAGCCGGCCCCGGCGGCCGCGACGGCCTGGGGCGCGCCCTTCCCTGCGCCCAAGGACGACTGGGCCGCCTATGGCCCCGGCCCCGCGGCCCCCGCCGCCAGCTCAGCCCAGCTGGCCTTTGGGCCCCCTCCGGACTTTAGCTCTGTGCCTGCACCCCCTGGGCCTGGCCCGGGCCTCCTGGCGCAGCCCCTGGGCGGCCCGGGAGCCCCATCGTCACCCGGAACACAGAGGCGGACGCCCTACGAATGGATGCGGCGCAGCGTGGCGGCCGGCGGCGGTGGCAGCAGCGGTAAGGACCCCTCTGGAGCCTGGCGCCTGCGGACACCCCAACCCCCCACCTCCCGGGCACCGGCAGGTGCTCACGCCAGGCCCAGGCGCCCTCTGCCTGACCTCTGCCCTGGCCTTGCTCGGTTTCTCGGAGCTGCCTTCTCAACCCCTTCGACCCCTGCGGCCCTGAGGGGGACGTTCTGTCAGCACCCCTCGGCTGCAGCTCAGCCACCCAGAGCCTTAGGAAGCATGAGCCAGCCCTCTCTCCGTGATAGGCGAACTGAGACACCCCCCAACCCTCGCCCCCAAGAAGGGAAGCAATGGCCCTGTGGTGGCCAGGCTAGGCAGAAACTGAAAGTAGTGCCCCGGACCCCCCATCCCAGGGCTGTTTTAGCAACACTGGTTCTGGGGCCTCCTGGTTTCTGTGCCAGGGCTCGCAGAGGCAGCCAAACCCACCTCCACAAGGGTCCATCCACTGCCTGGGACCATGAGCAAACCACTTTGCTCTCCAGGTTTGGGTCTCCCCATCTGACAGCCAGGAGGCTGGGGGGCGGGAGCTGAGCCTCAGAACTGAGTAAGAGCCCTCTGTGGTTAGGTCGGGCAGGGGTCCCTACCTTAGCCCTCCAGAGCCTGGCCTGAACTCTTGACCCTGGGGGAGGGGAAGCTGGAACAGTTGGAAAGTGGGAAGGTGGCTGCAGTTAGGCCCCAGAGTCTGTGAACCTCCTGCCCCCAGGCAGGCCTCTCTGATCCACCCTCTTCAAAGGCAGGGGAGGGGGCAGGACAAAGGCCGGGCTTCAATGAGGGGAGGCCTGACCTCCTTTATGGGCCCCCCCCTTTGTCATGTAACAAGCCAGTGCCTGGGCTCGCTAGTGACTCCTGTTGGCCGGAAAGTGAACATGCCGCCCCATTGTCCAGCTTGTGTCCGGCCTGTTCTGACAAAGGCCACCTGGCCTTGGGGGCGGAACCGGCCTGCCCACCCTTTGATGTCCCGCCCCTCCTCCTCCTCCCCCTCCCCCAGCTGGAGCAGGGCTGAGACATCCTCCTCCTCCTGTCTTTACCCCCATCTCCCTCCAGGGCAGAGGATGCTGAGAAGGGTTGATGGACAGGTTCTGGCTGGCATGGCACCCCCTTTCTCCAAGTCCCAGGAATGGAGATCCTCCAGGGAGATCCTCCAGGGATGCCTCCAGGGAGATCCAGGGGACCCGGCCTTGCCACTGGCTTCTGTGACCTTGATCAAACAACCAGCCTATTGATAGGTGCTGGCCCAAGGCCTTACCTGTATCAACTCATTGAACTCTCAAAACGTAGCACCTGTTAGCGCCCCATATTGAAGACCATCTAACCGGTGGCCGGTGGGGCTGGGACTTAAGTCCGAGCAGACTGTGCTCTGCTCCTTTGCACGACGGCTTCTGGCGGAGGGGTCATCTTTTCTGAGTCAGTTTTGCCATTTGTGGAATGAGAGGGAAGAAGGTTGGGAAGTGGTTTGCACCCATGTTTGCATTACAGGACTGTTTTTGAAAAATCGCATGGGTACACAGATCTCCTCCCTAGAGAGAAATGTGGCATTGTTGGGCAGACATGTTCAGGGCTTCTGGAACACCCCCCCCCCCAGAAACCTTGCCCAGGACCCCAGGTTCACAGCCCAGCAGTGGGTCCTGTGGGGGAAGGGCCTGGGGCCTCCTGCGGCCGTGGTCGTGGCCGTGGCCGTGGGGAAGCTGGAGGAGGAAGCTGCCTTTCCTGCTCCTCTGTTCCTCTTGCTGCTTCCTGCCTATCAGGGGCCTCTGGCAGTGGATGGGGAGCGTCCCCCATGGACGGGGACATGGAGAGAGGCCATCACCGGATGCGGGGAAGGAGGCGGCCGGTGCTGGTCAGAGGACCTGCCGGAGCCGGGGGAGTGTCAGGTGTGTGACGTCCAGTCCCTCTGGGCACCTGAGCCACTGCTCTGGCTGCCCCTGTGATGTCAAAAGTCAGATGCAGATGAGTGACTCTGCCCAGGACAAAGCATTTCCTGCTTTGCTTTCAGAAAGTGGAGGGAAGGGCCAGGGGAGACTGGGGGTCCCACAGCTCCAGAGGAGGGGCTGCCCTGGGGAGCAGCTGCGGGTATCCTGGCCTGGGCCTTCGTGAGGCCCAGAGCTGCTGTGACATATGACTGTACCCTAGCCTCTCCCCTCTTCAGCCTCAGTTTCCCCCCCTGGTTTCCAGGGATGGTCCCTGTGGATAGCGACTGAGAAAGGGCCAGGGGTACAGCCCCACCTTAGTCTCTAGCCTGCTACCCTTCCTGGCCTGCCCCTTCGCCTCTAGCCTTCTCCAGTATCCAAACAGGACAGTTAGAGACTGGGCCTGCAGACGGGGAGGCCAGAAGGCTGTCAGAAAGAATGTTCCAGACTGAGCTCAGTGGAGGCTGGGCTGGGCTGGAGGTGGAATTAGTCCCTTTGGACATTTCCTGTGGTTTTCCATCACATTGAGGACCAACCCCTGCTCCCTGAGGTCTACAAGGCTGCCTGGCGTTGGCGCCTGGCCCCTGGGGGCCTCCCCAACCTCACCCCAGGCCCTTGGCCCCATGGCGGGCCCACTCCTGCCTCTCCAGCCCTCTTTTCATTCCTCAGACGTGCCAAGTCCAGCTTGAGTCTTGTGCATGTGCCTGCTGCTCTCCTAGGAAAGCTGTTTGCCTGACTCTGCAGGCCTGGCTCCTTCTCACCCTTAGGGCTTAGCTTAAGGGATGCCTCCTCCGAGAGGACCTCTGCGATTTCCCGAAGCAGACTCTCCCCGGTGCGCATCGACACTGTCACTCCACATGGGTTTGTGTGTTCCCGTTCTCGGGAGCTGCAGAGCCCTACCTGCTTGACCCTTCGTTGCATCCCAGGCACCCAGCTCATTGCACGGTGTTTGGTAGGTGCTCAGCGCACTTTGTCAGGTGCGCAGGGCAAGTGAGATGGCTCTGGGAGGATAGGGGACAGCTAAGATTCGGTCTTGACCTTGACCCCAGTTTCAGAGGTCACTGTCTAGCCAGGCTGTCCTGGCTGCTGGCAAAACCCTGGGGATTGCAGTAGCTGGGGCTGAGACTGCGGCTTTCTTCTGAGAAGTGGGTGGGGACCATGGGCAACATAAGGGAGAGGCACTGGACACCAGCCAGACTCGAGCCCTAAGCCAGATATTAATCAGCTGTGAATGGTTCATGTCACATGACCGAGCCCGGGATTGGAAATGACTCCAGGGATTTTGTTGTCTGGTCTTCCCTCTTGGCATGTATCAACACAGTGTCTCTGTTGGGAGACGGGTGTGTCGTCCTGTGTTGAGGGCTCAGCCCCCAGGTGCTTCGCAGGCAGGTGGTCCATTGGGGAGTTGGCTCCAGGATGGGACCATTGGGACTGCCTTCCACCTTGGCCTGTTGCCTCTTCCCTCCAGCCTCTCTGATGCCCTCGCTGTCCTCTAACCCACTGCTGCAATTGCCTGAGCACAGCCATGCCCTCCGACCCAGAGCATTCCAAGGGGACAGGCATTCGACTTGGCTGTTAAGATGCTGGTGAAGATGCTTGCGTCCCACGTCAGAGTACCTGGGTTCAATACCTGGCTCCAGGTTCCAACCCCCGCTTCCTGTTAATGAACAGCCAGGAGACAGCAGATAATGCAACCCCCATGGGAGACCTGCATGGAGTTCCTGGCTCCTGGCTTCAGCGTGGCCCAGTCCTGCGTATTGTGGGCATGTAGGGAGTGAACCAGCGTACAGGAGATCTCACTCTCTTTCCCTCTTACTCAAATAAATAAAAAGTTTAAAAAATAAGAACATACCATGGCTCCACTGGTGGAATTACCACTCCATGGCTGTAAAACACAGCCCTATTTCTGTGGCATTCAGAGCTCCCCACCTTTTAAGATTTATTTATTTAATTGAAAGGCAGTTACAGACAGAGAGGTAGACAAGTAGAGAGGTACAGAGAGAGAAACAGACAGAGGTCTTCCATCCTCTGGTTCACTCCCCAAATGGCCGCAATGGCCAGGGCTGAGCCAGGTCCAAGCAAGGAGCCAGGACTTCATCTTGGTCTCCCACATGGGTGGCAGAGGCTGCTTTTCCCAGGCCATTAGCAGAGAACTAGATCAGAAATGGAGCAACACGGACCGAACCTGCACCTGTGTGGGTGCCGACATTGCAGATGGCGGCTTTACCTGCTGCACCACAGCGCCAGCCCCTGGAGCCCTCTTGAGAGCTGGCCCCCACCCCAGTATTGAAGCCCTGCTCCACTAGCTTGCTGAGATACAGTTACTCACTGGGCAGAGTTCAGGTCTGGACTGCGCTCCTGTGAAACATTGTGTCTTTGGACAAGCTACTTCTTTGAGCCTGGGTTTCCTCCACTGGAACACGAAGATGTTAACAGCGCTGCACCTTGAAGCAGTGACCTTGTAAGCACAGGCCTGCACCTGGCTGGCCCACAGTAGGTTCGCAGTGGCCACCTCTGCCAGTCCTCGGCAGGTGCATGCCAGCACACACCTTACACTCCTACCTGACCGGTCTGGGCCCTCCCTTCCCTCTCCTGCATCTTCACCAATTCAGATGCTGTCCATTCTCCAAGGCCACCTCTTCTAGGAAGTCCTCCTTAATTCCCTCCCCCTCCAAGCACTGTAGCAGGCTCTTGTTTAACAACATTTATCCCTGACAGCCTACTTTCATTGTCTTGTGTATCCCTGCCAGCTCTCATCTGTTACCCTCCTCAAGGGCTAGTCCTAGTCAGTTCCAGCCTCACCCTCCCTTGCACGTAGTAAGAACTCAAAATAAAGCTAATAACTGGGGCCAGTGTTGGGACATGGCAGGTAAAGCCACCACCTGTGACACTGGCATCCCATATGGGTCCCTATGCTCTCCACTTCCAATCCAGCTCCCTACTGATGACCCATGAAAAGCAGTGGAAGGTGGCCCAAGTGCTTGGGTCCCTGCCACCCATGTGGGAGACCCAGATGAAGCTTAGCCTGGCCCAGTGCTACTCGTTGACCCTATCTGGAGAGTGAACCAGCAGATGGAAGACATCT